TTAAAAAAAAAAAATCAAGAGTTATCTTTTTATTTCAATTTCACATAAAACTTTAATGTTCAAGCATTTTAGTCCAAAAGTTTCAAACCTTTTCAAATCAGTCCTTTATTTTTATTTTTATCAAATCAGTGCATTTAATTTTCATTGGTGCTTATTGAGCATACATTTTTTATTTTGTTCATTTTAGTCCAAAATTTTTTTAAATGTTTCAATTTGGTTTATCTCTTTTTTTTTTTTCAAGTTTGCTTATTAAGACTCAAACATAAATATGATGAATAAGTTGATTCAAAACCCCCAATGTTAAAGTATGCAACCGTGTTTAAACGGAGGATTATGAGGTGCGCGTATGCCCTTTCTTACTCCTAACTGAACCTCCGAACTTCAATCTCTGCGCAAACCTATTTTAGGTGACTTGTCCCACCTTATAATTTGGACGAGTGACGACTCCCTCTTTTTTATACTTTCACACTTTATTTTTCATTGTTTTTAAAAAATCTTAAGTGATCGTCAACACATTTAATGCAAGATTACATTAAAAGATTTACTGCCATTTGTGTGGCTCCATGTTGCTGTACTTTGCTGCTCCTTTGCAGCCTTTCATTTGCATTTGCACTTGCATTTCATTTGCTGTTCATTTCAACCTCATTTCCTCAACATTTGTAGCTTAGCATGCTGCACTTTGCTGCTACCGTGCTGTTGGTGCAGCTCTCCCTTCTTCATTTGCTGCCATTTTGTGCAGCCTTTCACTTTCCTTTGCTACCACTTGTGCAGCTTTGACACCACAACTCCAACAAACAGGTCCAAAACCGCCACTGTCCTACCTTGTTGGTGAGTGAAAAGTTATTGGTGGCATGAGATATCATAGCTAGTTCAAATACTGGAAGCTCCATGTCTTCTTTCTGAACTTTATTATAATATTCTCCCTTCTCTTCTCTTCTCTCTGAAATAGTATATAGGCTTTACATTAATCATCATATCTGGAGAGCCGAAACAGTTTTGCTTTGACCAAAAGTAGTAGAGATTTAAAATCATTCTGTTTATCAAGCAATTTTTGTTTATTTTCTTCTAGGTAATATATAAAAAGCAGATTCAAAGCAAAGCCAACAATTAACAAATGGAAGAAAGATCAGAACAAAACATGGTATAATTGAAAAATTGATAGATATTGAAAGCATATAAATCAAAAAAGAAAGAAGATGAACATATTTTGCAAGGCAAAAGTTTGAAATGTTACCTTCCAAGCTTCTCTTCCTTTTGAGGAAGAAATAGCAGACTATAAACAGCCCTGAAAGTGCAGCAAGTGGAATTGCAAACATCAGTGCTATTTTCATCTTAGAATTTTTTTCTGATTCTTCATAATCAAATTTGATGGAGAAAAGCATATAAGTAAATCAGCTTTGTTGGAGACACTTTCAAGTTTTCATGAAATGAAACCCAAAGCAAGGATAACTCATACCTGATTCTGAAGTAGACATTCTGATGTATAGATCCTGCCCACCAATTTGAAACTGTCTAATATCAAGTAGATCACCAAACCAAATAGCACAACCACTACCATCTCCGTTTATATCAAAACTAGTATAGGCTGTACAAGAATAGTTCTGCCAGCATTTAGTCTGGCATTCCTTGAGATTCATGCTTCTGCTTATCCAAGATTGTGCAGCATCTGGCAGCTTTAACTTTTGGTATTGGATAAATCCATCACCTTGCTGACGGTTCAATGGCTTCTTTCTAACACATCCTCGAGACCAGTCCATTGAGCTCCATTTACTTGTGGATTTAGGCTCAAATCCTTCCAAACATTGGCAAGGTAGGAGTTGAGTATTGTCACAATAACTGTATGCACCACAACGTCCATAAGTGTCACAGAAGTCTTTTGGCATGTATGAATACAGATTCCAAGTTTGAGTATTTTCCCCCCATATGTATCGCTGGCTTGTGTAGTCAGTTTGGTTCAGAAA